CTCGCCAAGTTGCCTGGGCTGGCCTCAAACCCGTGGGCTCAGGCAATCTTCTTACTTTGGCCTCCCAAAGTGCTGGGATTATATGTGTAAGCCACTGTGCCTGGCTGTTCTTTCTAACTCTATTTCTTTTAATATCTGAAATATATCACAGTGTGTTCCATTTTATGAACTCATCTTAGATTTTTTTTTTTCACAAACAGGTGGGGTTTCAATCAAGAGAGAAAGAAAAAAGAGCCAGGCACAGTGGCTCATGTTTGTAATCCCAGCACTTAGGGATGCTGAGGTGAGAAGACTGCCTGAACCCAGGAGTTTGAGACCCTCCGGGCAACATAGTGAGACCTCATCTCCATAAGAAATAAAAAATCAACCAGGCATCGTGGTGCACACCAATAGTCCTAGCTACTTGGAAGGCTGAGGTGGAAGGATAGTCTGAGCCCAGCAGGTTGAGGCTATGGTAGCCATGACTGTGTCATTGCACTCCAGCCTGGGCAATAGAATGAGAATCCAACTCGAAGAAGGAGGAGGAGGCTGGGTGTGGTGTCTTATGCCCATAGTCCCAGCATTTTGGGAGACCAGGGTGGGTGGATTGCTTGAGCCCAGGAGTTCAAGACTAGCCTTGGTAACAGAGCGAGACCTTGTCTCTACAATAAACAAACAAATACGCCAAGCATGGTGGCATGCACTTACAGTCCCAGTTAATTGGGATGCTGAGGAGGAAGGATCACCTGCGCCCAGGAGGTTGAGGCTGCCATAAGCCTTTATCATCACGATCATGCCACTGCACTCCAGCCTGGTCCACAGAGCGAGATGCTGACTCAAAAAAAAAAAAAAGTTTTCCTGTGCCCTCCATGAGGGAGTATGTCCTACACATCCTTCCTGTGTCCTGCTGTGTATCTGGGAGAGTACGTTTCATTGGGTAAATGCTCCTTACAAATATGTTGAGGCCGGGCTCGGTGGCTCAGCCTGTAATCCCAGCACTTTGGGAGGCCGAGGCGAGTGGATTGCCTGAGCCCACGGGTTCGAGACCCACCCGAGCAACTTGGCGAGACCTCGTCTCTACAATAAAAATAAAAAATTAGCCGGGTGTGGTAGCACACGCCTGTAACTCCGGCTACATGGAAGGCTGAGGCGGAATGATTGCCAGAGCCCAGTAGATCGAGGCTGCGATGGCCGGGAGCATTCCACTGCCCTCCAGCCTGGGCAATGGAGTGAGACTCCAACTCAAAAAAAAATATGTTGAATATATTAGATAAGTTTTTTTGTTTGTTTTTGAGTTGGAGTCTCACTCCATTGCCCAGGCTGGAGGGCAGTGGCATGCTCCTGGCCACTGCAGCCTCGATCTGCTGGGCTCTGGCAATCATTCCGCCTCAGCCTTCCATGTAGCCGGAGTTACAGGCGTGTGCTTCCATGCCTGGCTAAGATAAGTTTTAATAATTATGTCAAGGGTTATTCCAAGGGAAAGTTCTAGAAGGAAACTGAATGGCCACTTGATGCTATTATTAACAGCTTTTCTGCCAGGTGCAGTGACTCATGCCTGTAATTCCAGCATTTCAGGAAACTGAGGTGGGAGGATTGCTTGAAGTTAGGATTCAAGATCATCCTGGGCTTCATAGTGAAACCTTGTCTCTACAAAAAAAAACAAAAACAAAAAACAAAACCCAGTCTTTTTCATTTCCTATTTCCTGTGACATCTGTCTAGCAGTGTCAGTGCAAGTGCTAAGATGTGTACCCTCACAACTGGTCCCCGGACTATGGCAGATGCCTAAAAGGCCTTTACCCAGTGAAGCGCAGGGAAGTTCTGCTTCTCTGAGAGGAAATCTGAATTTAAATCTGGAGTGAAATGCCTTTGGTGGCGTTGTCCTTAGTGACCCTGTCTCTCCCAGGTTGGCTCCCCCACACCAGAAGCTCTGCCTGGTGCGTTAGGGCTTTGCCTAACTTTCCCGAAGTCATGGGCTCATCTCTAACCTGTGATTTGTTGAGAACAGTATTCATTCCAAGCTGGGAATGACTCCCTGGGGACATCTGGCTGCAGCAGAAAGTGCCCATCTCTCATCACTCCTAACAAGATCCACATGATGTAAATTTCAACCTGTCCCAATAGGACATGCTCAGCATGGCCAATGAAGGATTTCAGCCTTTGGCAAAAAAAAAAAAAAAAAAAAAAAATGGGCAAGGTTATTTAAAACCAAACTGTCTCATTTAAGAATGATGGTCTTTTAATGAGCTCCCCAGGAACCCACAAGGGCTCAGAGAATGAAACAAGAAGGCCCCAAATAGTCAGAACCCACAAGCAAAGACCCCTTGCCTGTTCACAGCAGAGGCACTCTGCCCATTTTCAATTTTATTCCCCACTTCTGTTCTTTTCCCTGCTGTGATCCAAGGGTACAAGGACTTTGATTATATTAATAAAGCAGATTAGACCATCCCCTGACTGACCCTCAAAAAGTTTTTCTGGATACCTTCCCCTAAAATGATGAAATTTATGAAGTTTTAGTTAGGTATTTAGGGGTCTATAGGATCTGGCCTCAACTCTCTCTTTCAATTACATGCTCCTCTCTCTGTCACATGTCCTGGGCTCTGGCTATACTGGCTAACTCTTGGTAGTTTTTTGTACTTTCCCTCAGAATGAAAAGTCTTTCCTACTCCCATCCAACCACTCCACCCTCCATTCTGTTCACAGAACTCAGATCCCTTCCCCAGTGAGAATAAGTAGCACCTCCTTACTGCTGGTGGCACTTTGCTTACCCCAGTTCCATCTGGCCTAGGGCAATAGGTGACTGCCCATGTCTACTTCCTCACAAGACCCTAAACAGCCAGAGGGAAGAGGCTGGCTGTCTAAGGTTGTATCTTCTAGTGCTCAGCCCAGAGCTCTGGGTGCAGGAGGCCCTCTGCAATGGTCAGTGTGGCGTGACTGGCAGGCTTTCCATTTTTTTTTAATTCAAATTTCATTAAAGCAAAACATGCCATACATTCACACTCAAAAGATACAACAGAATGAAAAGTCACCCTCTCTGTTTTCTAGTCACTCATTAATTCTCTTGTATGAAAAAAAAAAACAAACCCAAAACAATAATATCGGCTTCTTGTGAGTCCTTTCAAAGACATGCAAACATGAGACATATAGAATATTCTTCTTCCATCTTTAAAAAAAATGAGATCATAGCTTTGCAGTTTGCTTTTTCGCCTTACTATACAAACGTACATATATTTTTGAAATGCACTTAACAAATCTTTATTGATAACATTTAGGTTGTTTTCATTCTTTTGATATTAAAAACAATGCTGTAGTGAGTAATCTTGTATATTTATCATGTTCACATGTGTATTTCTTTCTCTTTTTTTGAGCTGGAGTCTCATTCTGTCGCCCAGGTTGCATGGAGTGCAGTGGCATGCTCATGGCCACCGCAGCCTCGACCTGCTGGGCTCAGGTGATCCTTCTGCCTCAGCCTTCTAAGTAGCAGGAACCACAGGCATGCGCCACCATGCCCCACTAATTTTGTGGTTTATTGTAGAGACGAGTTCTCACCATGTTACCCAGGCTGGTCTCAAACTCCCCAGCTCAGGCAATCCTCTCACCTCTGCCTCCCCAAGTGCTGGGATTACAGGCGTGAGCCACTGTGCTCGGTCCACATTGTGTATTTCTAGAGATAATTTCTAGGGATAGAATTGCTAGGTCAATGGATGTAGGTACTTTTAATCTTGATCAACATTGTCCAACGAAATAATGCTCAATTTTACATCCATGAGCAATATATAGGACTCTCCACACTGTTGATAACACAATGAGTTATCAAACTTTTTTTGACAAGTTCAATTAAAAATTTAAAGCTGTGTGTGTGTGGCCATCCTTGAGTTGAAAATCATCAAAGATATCCCATAGTATTGACAATCTAGGGATTCTAACCCCATGCTCATAGAAAGTAATTCTTATTTGAGCCTAAGCATATTTAAGGAATGCAGCAACATAAATAAAATGGATAACCAGCTGCTTTAATAAACATCTTTTACTTCTGTGGCGTAATCTAGTTTTTAGACACATTTTACATACATTGATTTGGGCCAATGGGGGGTTCCTGTATTTTCAAGAATTTAAAATGTAACCCGTAGGAGACAGTGCCATGAACACACACTTTGCAGGTTGATGTCTAGGATAAGAATTTTAATGACGTCTATTTTGGGAAGGAGAGACACCGCAGAGATCAGAAACCAGTCTCTGAAGAAGAACCACCTGGGTTTGAAGCCTATCCCTATCGCTTTAAGCTGCATAACCTTGAGCAAGTTTCCTCATCTGTAATCTGCACTGTAGCTGTGTTGTGGGGATTAAATGGGATGGTGCCTGCAAAACTTTTTTGGCCCAGTACCTGACACATAATAGGCACTCATTAAAAGTAGCTGTAATTGTTATTTGATAAATATGTTGTTCTATGTGGTGACAGCAGATTAAGGGGCTACTTTGGTGATATAATCTGCCGTCTTGGAGTAGAGGTAAGGGTTCTGGAGTCAGGTAAATTTCTCTCTAGCATTCGTTAGCAGTATAGCTTTGAGCACATCATGCCCTAACCTCTCTGGCCTCAGTTTCCTTATCTGTAAAGCGGCCAGAATAAAATCCAAGTCTTGGATTTTGCTTTTGAGTTTTCTCTAAAATTTACATGTGTAATACTCACAAGCCTTTAAGACACAATGCTTTTCTTGCCTCCCGATCAGAAGGCGAAGACATCAACTAACCCATCAAACAGCCGAGTAACCCCAGGAAACCTCAGGGACCGAGACCAGAGCGACGCGGGCAATTCTGTTATGGCCGGCGCCCGCGTGTCGAGGGGAATGGCCACGGAGTGGCAGGCGATCGCTCCCCAAAACGGCTCCTCGACACCCGGCTCCAGAGACGGTGTCCGGGGAGAGGCCGCAGTATCCCGGCAGTCACCCGGGCAACCCCCCTTTCCGGTCTCGGGTCCCGCGGGCGCTTCCGGCTCCGGCGTTGCGTCATCGCCCGGCGACGGGGTGGCGGCCGGAGCCGTCCCGGGGGTGCGGTCCCGGGTGGACGGTGAGGGTCACGGGTCCTGGCCTCGCCGTCACCAGCCTCTGTCCCCGGGGCTCGGCGCCGCCATGGAGAGCGGAGGGCGGCCCTCGCTGGGCCAGTTCATCCTCCTGGGCACCAGCTCTGTCGTCACCGCCGTCCTGTACTCCGTGTACCGGCAGAAGGCCCAGGTCGCCCGGGAGCTCAAGGTCAGTGCTGAGCCGGCCTGGCCTCAGCCGGCTCATCTTCGCCCCGGGCCGTGCGAACCCCCGGCTCACCCGGGCCGCCCCGTTGTCGAAGCTGCCCCAGGGAGGAAGCAGCCTCCGAAGGGTGTCGCCAGCCAGTCCACGGAGGAGCTGGGGTCAGAATTCGGATCTCACGATAACGCCTGGTCGGCGCCTTTTCTCCCGAGTCCCTCGCATTGCTCAGAATGAATCTTGGCTTCATTACTTTGCTCGAAAAACCTGTATTGAGCCCCTGCTGAGCGCAGGCAGTGAGTAGAACAGAAAAGCCCTCGCGGAGATTCCATTCTAGTGCGACCAGATAGTAAACCCGGATCAGGTGGGATGACAGATGGGGCGAAATGCTTTAGAGGGAGACAAGGAAGAGAGGGAGTGGGATGCTGGACGAAAGGGGCTTCTTATTTGAGCTAAGGTGACATGTGAGCAGAACCTAGGCGTCGAGGGGGCCAGGCAGATATCTAGGGAAGAGCAGATCAGACTCGGGGAACAGGAAGTGCAGAGAAACATGTAATTAACGTCTTAGCTCTTTGCTTCTCCATACCCTTCCTTTTTCTGTTATAGTTATTTTAAAATAACACTCTCCTTTTCGAACCTCACTTTACAATTTATGCAACGCATCTCCATTTTTTTTCTTCTATAATTTTTTTGTGGCAGATGAAATGACAATTACCCCCAGATTGCAAATCAGGAAATTGAGATTCAGAGGAGAGGTCTTGCAGCTAGTCAGCTTGGAAATTAAACTTAAGTCTTTTGATTCCAAAGATGGAGTTTGTTTCTGATTGATCACATCACTTTATTGTAAATGTCTGACTGGTTCAGAGAGATAAACCTCTTTCAACCAGAGACAGGGTCTTATTTCTTCTTCCTCTTTCCTTCTAGATTATAACTCAGTGCTTGATAGGTGATAGATGCTCAGTAAATATTTGTGGGTTCATTTTAGTTGAAATTTCACAATATAACAGCTAAGGGCCTAATTCTACTTTTACATAAAAGGTGAATTCTTGAAGCTAACTTCATTATTCAGTGAGGGTTCAGAAAACTGTGAAATCCCTGCTATGAAGGGAGTTTTGGAATCTGGAAAGAACCAAGTTACAAGGCAATTGGATTTGTTGTGCAATGACATTCTAGTGAGAGTCCAGCTGCCCTGCTGTTCACCTGACATGATTGGCTTTGAGTGTAACTGATACTTCACTTTTTGGCTCCAGAACCAGTTTGGCTTCAAGTTGGCTGGGTGTGGGATTGTTTGAAGCAGTGGACTCTCCAGGTCCCATCTTTGGGTGACCTTAAAAGTATTGCCAGTTAGCTCCTAAATGAGGATGAAATAGTCCTTCCTGGAAGAAGAGTTGGAACTCCCGATATTTAGATTACAATATTTTCAGATGGCAAAACTTCAGAGTAGAGCTGCTCCTTACCCTGTGTATCTCTCTTAGTGGTGGGAAGGCATCCCCCTGGCTGGATTTTTTCACACCTTAAAGTTAATTTAATCCACGTAAAAATCCTGGGAGATTGCTTTTTCCCCATCCTTTTCAGTTTTGGAAACAGACTCAGATAAAGTTTCACTTGCCCAAAGTCCCAGTGGCTGTGTTAAAGCTTGATTCAACTCCAGGTCTTTTTGATCATATTCTTCCCTATCCCCCTTTTAAACATTCTGATTGGCCATTCTGTGATAGATACTTTACTAGCTATGTGACTTTGGGCAAATCACTTCATCTCTGAGCCCCAGTCTCCTTATCTGTGATTGGTGAGAATGTTTTCTGTGTAGGGATATTATGAACATTTCATGGGTTTTTGCATTAAAGTGCTTAGCATATTGCCTGGTACACAGTGTATCCTAGTGCTTATTTATTCACTTTATTTCTTAAATATGTAATGAGTACGTTCTGTGTGTCAGGCACTCTTCTCAGTACTGGGGGACAGCAGTGAACAAGACAATGTTTGAATCTTACTAGAGTTTATTTTTACTTATTTTTTATTTTTTTCAAAAGCAATGCAATCATATGTATTTACCAGTATAGCAGAAAATGTTAGTTCAGTTTCAGTTGTGTCAAAGGGAACAAAATAATTGGGAGAAGGGGGAGGGGAAGAGTATCCATTTTTTAGTCAGAGCTTCAGTAGGAATCAACATAGGGAAAACCTAAGGGAACTCCCATTCTGGAGTGACTTACTGGGGACTTTTTTTTTTTTTTTTAAGTGAAACTGCTTTATTTAATTTATTATTATTATTATTTTTTAATCAATATTTTTTATTATGATTTTGTGGGGTACAGTTAAGGGTTAGGTGTACAATTACGTTTCATTCAGGCACCCTGTTGATAAGAGGTGTTTCCCCATCCCCAGACAGATATGTGCGACTGTTAATCCCATCCCCCGTTTACTTTTATTTTTGAGACAAAGTCTCATTTTGTCACCCAGACTGGAGTGCAGTGGGGTGATCATGGCTCACCTCAGCCTTGAATTCCTGGGCTCAAGTGGTCCTCCTGCCTTAGCCTCCCAAGTATCAGGGACCATAGGCATGTGCCAACATACCTTGCTAATTTTTCTTTCTTTCTTTTCTTTTTTCTTTTTTTGTGGAGGCAGGGTCTTGCTTTGTTACCTAGGCTGGTCTCAAATTCCTGGCCTCAAACAATCCTCCCACCTCAGTTTCCCAAGGTGCTGGGATTATAGGCATGAGCCACTGTGCCTGGTTTCCTCCTAGAGTTTAATAGCCTGGTGGAGGGAGACATAATAAGTGAGTAAGTTGTGCTAGTTATTATTGCTGGTATTTTTAATATCTTCATGGAGTAAGTGGTTAAGGAGCGTGAATGGACCTTGCTTCTGTCGTTTACTCTGTAGCTTAACCCAGAGTGAGCTTCCTGTGTGTCCAGGCCCTCCTCACCTCTCCTCACCTCTTTACCAGTTACCAAAGCCTGCATCCTTAGGTTTTGGTAGTGGGAATATCCTGAGAGCAGAGATGGTCCTTTGTTTGTACCTGAATCCCTAGCCCCCAGCACTGTGCATGGCACAGAGATGCTTAGGATATACTTGTTGATTGTCCTACTTTTCTCATATTTTTGATGTAGCAGTAACAGGCTTGGTTGGTTTCCCAAGCGCAGCAGGTTGGGCACTCTGAGTTGGAAGGGATGGGAGGACTAGGGATTGTTAGAGGAAGCCAGCAGCAGAAGGAATGTGCTCACTTGATTATGACAGGGAAGAAAGACAAAAAGTAGAATAGTGCTTGGTACCAGTTAGCAGATACTTGCCTAGTAAAGCAAAGGCACCCCTTTTTTGTAGCATACAATGCCAAACAACTCATAGGGGTGTGGTGATAACATTTATGGAGCCCCTGCCATGTACTAGGCAACAGTCTAGGTGCTTTACACCTGAACCCTTTGAACCATAGCTCTGTGTTTTCAGGAAGAGATTAAATGATGTTCAGTCTGTGATATTCACATTGACTACTACTTTTTTATATTTGCATTAAAAAATAAAAATACTAACATGAAAAAGAGTGTAGATTTTGGTTAACCTGAAAAAGAATGTATGTGGCATCCCCATTCTGCAGTGACAGAAGAGCCTGTTGATGTGTTCAAACTTCTGGGACACAGCTTTGAAATCTGATTCTCCGTCGTATCATTCCTGCCCAGTTCCTCATTCTCTCAACATGCAAAAAGTCAACAGTGTTTTTCTTTTTTTGCCCTTAAGCTTTGATTGAACATATTAGGCTTCGATGGCCAATGTGATATTTTTTTTTGTATTTAGGGAGCTAGGAAAATCCACCTGGGTGAAGATTTAAAGGGTATTCTTTCGGAAGCTCCAGGAAAATGTGTGCCTTATGCTGTTATTGAAGGTATGTTTGTTAATTGGTCAATGGAAAGCAAATTCCTCTTTCCAAAAGGTTGAAAAAACTTGTCTTGGCTAACATTAAGTGCCTTTGTGGTGTCGGGGCCATGTTCAGAACATATTTTGTCAGAAAGACCTGGGTGGTGGTTGCGTGATCTTGGGGAAGATTACCAAACCTTTCTGAAGCACTATTGCCTCATTGGTAAAATGATACTTGCCTTAGGGGGTTGTTTAATACTTCAACAATGTAACCCATGTAAAAAAGCGTAGCAGATGTGCCTAAGATGTAACTTATGATGATAAAAATGTCATCATTTTGATGAATTAACATAGCTCAAACTAAAAACACATTTTAAATGACCTTCAAGGAGAGGGCAGAAATATATATCTATTTTTTGAGTCAGAGTTTCACTCTGTAGCCCAGGCTGGAGTGCAGAGGCACACTGCTCACGGTCACTGCAGCCTCGACCTGCTGGGTTCAGGGGATCCTTCTGCCTCAGCCTTCCAAGTAGCTGGAACTACAGGCACACGCCACCATGCCTGGCTAATTTTTTGATTTATTGTAGAGATGAGGTCTTGCCAAGTTGCCCAGGCTGGTCTTGAACCTGTGAGCTCAGGCAATCCTCTCACCTCAGTCTCCCAAAGTGCTAGGATTATAGGCATGAGCCATCAAGCCCGACCAGAAAAATTCTTAAAATAAAATAACATGTGTCCACTCAGGAGCTGTGCGATCGGTTAAAGAAACCCTTAACAGCCAGTTTGTGGAAAACTGCAAGGGAGTCATTCAGCGGCTGACGCTTCAGGAGCACAAGATGGTATGGAACCGAACGACCCACCTCTGGTATGCAGCTTTCCTCCACAAGCCAGACCCTTTCTGTCGGTCCGTTCAAATGTGGGGTCCCAGGTGCTGTTGCCACGGCTTTGTCTTCTCCTGAGGCAGTTCGAAGGCCAGTCTCTTCATGCTGATCTTACTCTTGGTGTGATCTCTGGCCCTCCTGCATCTGTGGGCATCTCATTGAAATGCAGATTTCGGGGCTCCCTTCCAGACCTGCTCAACTAGAATTTCCAGGATAGAGAGCCTAGAATCTTGACTGTTTAAGAACCACTGACTTAGAGATTAGATTAGATTAGATCTTAGATAGATCTTAGATTAGAGATTTCAGGATTTGTTAAAATAATTTTCTGCCATTACATGGAGTATCAGCTTTCCAGCTGGTCCTAGTGGGCTTGTTTAAGATGTGTTGTTTTACAGTGGTGAAGGGAAACAGGTGGTGTAGGCAGTCTGTGGGGGTATTGTTGCCCACTGTTATTGCCCAAAGACCCAGGAGATGGAGCCTCTTTATTATGAGGTACTTGGATTAGTGATTCCTGCTGGTTCTTCCAGTGATGTCAGACTTGGTTCTGTACTCCTGGCACTTAACTGATCTCTTCCCTGCCTGGTGTTGGGTGTTTGCTACCTGTCGTTTCATCTCAGTTCTATTTTTCTTTTAGGAATGACTGTTCAAAGATCATTCACCAGAGGACCAACACGGTGCCCTTTGACCTGGTGCCCCATGAGGATGCTGTGGGCGTGGCTGTGCGAGTGCTGAAGCCCCTGGACTCGGTGGACCTGGGCCTGGAGACTGTGTATGAGAAGTTCCACCCCTCTGTCCAGTCCTTCACTGACGTTATCGGCCACTACATCAGCGGCGAGCGGCCCAAAGGCATGCAGGAGACCGAGGAGATGCTGAAGGTTGGGGCTACCCTCACGGGGGTTGGCGAGCTGGTTCTGGACAACAACTCCGTCCGCCTGCAGCCACCCAAACAAGGCATGCAGTACTACCTAAGCGGCCAGGACTTTGACACCCTGCTGCAGAGGCAGGAGTCGAGTGTCAGGCTCTGGAAGGTTCTGGCACTGGTTTTTGGCTTTGCCACGTGTGCCACCCTCTTCTTCATCCTCCGCAAGCAGTATCTGCTGAGGCAGGAGCGACTGCGCCTCAAACAGATGCAGGAGGAGTTCCAGGAGCACGAGGCCCAGCTGCTGAGCCAAGCCAGGCCTGAGGACAGGGAGAGTCTGAAGAGTGCCTGCGTTGTGTGTCTGAGCAGCTTCAAGTCCTGCGTCTTTCTGGAATGTGGGCACGTCTGCTCTTGTGCTGAGTGCTATCGCGCCCTGCCAGAGCCCAAGAGGTGCCCCATCTGCAGACAGGCCATCACCCGGGTCATCCCCCTGTTCAACAGCTAACGGGCGTGAAGTGATGTGGAAGCGACCCCTTGCTTTTCAGGGATTTTCATCTCGAGGCCTTGGGAGGAGCTGTGGTGGGGTGGCTGTCACCTCGGGTGTGAGTGGGGGAGGGAGAGGGTAGAAACTGTCCAGACCCACACCTCCAACAGCACGACCTCCTGCCCAAAAGGGAGCCCTGTCCATGTGGAATATGAGAATCTAAGTCTCACCCTGGGAGGGTGCCATGGCCTGGCATCTCTTCCTAGGAACAGATAAGTGTGTGTGTGACTGAGAACACCTCATCATTTGCTTAAGTACCAAAGCCAGTGGTCTTCAGCTCTTCTGTTCGTATGCCTTCTGGTCCTTTCTGGTGAATTGTCGTTTGCTGTGGACTTGGGGGAGGACTCAGAGGCCCAGCCCTGAGTGGGAAGGACACTTGCAGAGCTGCCTCTAGAGAGACTTTGCCATGCTTTTCTTCCTTTTGCTCTCACCCTGGGAAAAGGCTTTCTTCACAATTGTCAGGGCAGGTCACTGTGTCCCTTTCCCCTCACCTGCTTGCCTCCTGAGCTCATGCACGTGTGTGTAGAGGGCAAAGCAGTGAAAACAGCATATCTGCCTCTGCCCACATGGTGGAACCCTGGGAAGCAGAATGAAGAGCCATCACTTGAGGCGCAGTTGCTTTGTCAGCCCTCCTGGTGCCACTACTGCCCTGGAGAGGGCCCTGGCCCTGACTGGGAACTCCTGTCACTCGGGAGGGCCAAAGGTGGCTCTGGTGTTCCTGCTGGAAACTGCTGCAAGGGTCTCACCACCCGGAGGATGCAGTGTAGACACTGCTGTCCTGGTTTCCGGCTTCCTGGCAAGGTTCACGAGGAGGAGCCAGTGGCACCCTGACCGTTGCCAGTGGCACCAAGCCCGTTGCAGTGCTGACATCGCTTGGGGGGATCACATCACTCTCTGTGTTCCCTGTGTCCCCTCCCATGTTACCCCCACCCCTCCCCTGTTCATGGTGTGCCTGTGAGTACAAGATAAGTGGGGAAGTCTCCCCCTGCTCCAAGCAGTCAGAAGTCATATTTATGGCTCTTTTATATTTCCCTGTCTTGGACTATTTGTCCCCATCCTCCTTTGTGTGGGGGAGGAGTGCTCTCAGGGGCCGACACTCATACTATGCAGTGTCTGGTGTGATCAGCACAAATTAAACACGTCACAGCCAAGTGGTAGCCTGTTGCTTCGTAACCAGGGTTAAATGGTTAAGCCAAGGTTTCCCCAGGGGGGCATAAGCCCCTGCCATGAAAGGGTGAAAGCTGGCACACAGGCCTCCATGTTCTGTTCCTTGGCTTGAGTGGCTTGGGGCTCACCCAGGAGGTGCAGCTTGTTGATGCTGAGGCTGGGGTGCCTGCTGCCGGGGAGGAGTCTGGCAAGCCCTAGAGAGGCTTGTCCTGGACAGCCAGCCGTGGGTCACACCTGGCTTCACCGAGACAGTCCTGACCAGGGCTGTGAGACTCCTCCACCTGGAAGAGTGGGACGGGGGTGGGTAGTTGGGAACAGCCAGGAGGAACCCAGCATTTAGCGAGTGCTGCTGTGTACCTGGTATTGTATCCCATGCTCTTTCTTTTTTTTTTTTTTTTGAGTTGGAGTTTCACTCTGTCGCCCAGACTGAAGTGCAGTGGCCGCTCCTGCTGGGCTCCTGCTATCCTTGACCTGCTGGGCTCCGGCGATCCTTCCACCTCAGCCTTCCAAGTAGCTGGAACTACAGGCACGTGCTACCATGCCCGGCTAATTTTTTTTAATTTTATTGTAGAGATGAGGTCTCGCCAAGTTGCCCAGGCTGGTCTCGAACCCACGGGTTCAGGCAATCCACTCACTTCAGCCTCCCAAAGCACGGGATTACAGGCTGAGCCACCAAGCCCGGCTTCCATGCTCTTTCAAACTTTGATTTCCAGGTGTGTTCATTCCTGCAGGCTGAGACCCCGTGTCTCCTTTGTACTGGCAACCTTGGGAAGTTCCCTGGGCTGAAAGCACAGAGCTAGTATGTGGTGGGCCTGAATTTAAACTTCATGCTGTTTCCAGCATCCTGATATCTGTGCTCACCAGCAGTGGGGCTGATGAACTCTCTTGGTGCTGGCAGGAACAGCCCCAGGATATGTGTCCACCAAGTCAGTAGAGGGGGAAAGCTGCACTGGAGGAACAGGCAGAAGCTGTGGTGAGAATTGACTTCAGTGTTGAGTTGCGTCCAGTGAGGTGTGAACACCCTGGTTTCCATAGGTGCCTGGGCAGCGGCATGGAACGGCCACTGGTAGGAATGACCTTGGAGCACCTTGAAAACATCACCCCTTTTCCTTGTGCTCTGGGCAACCAGTTTGTAGGGATCCAGTCTTTAGTGGAGGATGAATGGACTGCCTGGGGGCCTCTGTGTGGTAGTCCATTGGAGCTGGTCCTTGGCATAGGTTTCATGAGCAAATCCGACCAGAGAGACTGATAAGAAGGGCTGGCTGCCTGTTCCACCCTAGCCCACCTCAAGCCTTGGGCAGACTTGAGTTCTTCTGTCTCAAGGTTTCCTCCGAGCTGAGCCCAGTTCCTCGGTGGGGGACTCGGGAACACGCAGCCCCTGCCTCAGGAAGCCGGCGTGTCTCAGACACGTGCCCTGCTTGGTCTTGGCCTGATGGGACTGAGACTGCCTCATGCTCTGCTTCAGCCTTGACCTTGGCAGTTCCCCCTTCCATTCTAGGAGCCTCACCTCCAGCCATTGGATGAGGCCTAAACAGGTGAGACGGGCATGGAGGGTGGGATAAGGGGGAAGTTAGTTCTGAGCCAACCATGGGATTGTTGTGAATGACGAATCTTCCTTAAGCCAACCCTGTGCTTGGTCTCTTTAGTCCTAGGCAGACAGCATTAGGCATGAATCATCTGGAGTAATTGCTATCAGTGTTTTGAATGTCCATGCTGGGCACTTCATGTGTGTTAATGCTTGTCCTACATGGTGGGTATTGTTACCCTGATTCAGTAAGTGAGAACAGGGCGGCTCAGTGGGGTTACATTTTACTGTGGTCACACATTGTGACAAGCCAGCATGAGGTTCTTCACAGGTGCTATTTTTTTTCTTTTTTTTTTTTGAGTTGGAGTCTCACTCTGTCACCCAAACTGGAGTGCAGTGGCCGCTCCCGGC